GACAAAAGGTCTTGAAACTACTATAGTTAAATAAATTATGTCCTAAAATAAAATAATAATTTGTTTATTATACAATGCTTATACATTGCACCATCCAAGGTTTACAATTGTAAAAGATGGTTTGGATTGGATAAAGGAGGTGGAATGAGATGTAACAACTAGCAACCGAACATGGATATACATACATTCTGCAACTACATATGCAAGTATCATTGGCGTACGCAGCGGGGGGGGGGCAGGGGGACAAATCTCCCCCCCCCAAAGCCAAAAAATGCAGATGCCGGATTAATTTTTCAATATTGTTTATATTAATTTATATTTGTTAATATTTATTCGTATCTCATATTAAATATATATTTAATTACAATTATTATCACATTTATCTACTAAGTTATTTTATCAATTAATTTCGATTTCAAGTTTTCCGGCGTAATATTTACTTATTATTTTCCAATTTTTGTGGCGTAATATTTATCTACCATTTTCAAATTTCTAGTCAAATAATTATTATTTCTGAAACTTCTTGTCCAACAGGGAAAAAGAAATTGCAACCTTGTCCAACGAGATAGTCTCTGCCATCAAGCAGTAACAGCTTTTAAGGAGTTAGAAGAGCCAATTATTTGCTATTACTGAAATATCACAATTGCCTGAAAGAAATATTTCATCAGAAGCAAGAAAATTATTGGATTCAATGCTTATTCCAAATTTTATTTCTCATTAGAATGTATTATTTAATTATACAACTATTTTAAGTATTACTTTTCAAAAACATGACATTGACTTGATTAAGAAGATGAGAATAGCGGAGAGCATTTTATCAGAACTCAAGGAAATTAGGGCTAATGTTGATGAAGAATTTCATATTTTATTGTTGAGTCAAAAGCAGAGCTATACGTGTTTAATATTTGTCTCCCTCGACTTGTAACAAGGCAAGCTCATCGTTAAAACATAATATAGGATCAGTAGAAGAGTATATCTTAAATACAGATACATTTAAATCTGCAAATATTACTTCCACAAAAGCCTTCCAACCTTTTTCAGATGGTGATAGAAAAAAAAAATATTTGTTAGATTTTTATTATGAAGATGTTAAAGTATCTTATATGCCTTACTAGCTGAATAACTATGTTTATAAGATTAACAATGGTTAATATAGTCCCAAAAAATGCCATGGATGCTCTGAATTATTTCAAACACATTTTAGATTAAATTCCCAATGTATTAAAAAGGTTTATAAACTCTTCCCATTAGTAAACTAATGAGAGAACATTCTCTTTTTTAAGAAGAATAACAGAGGCCTGCAGAAGTACCATTTGCAGGGCACGGGCCGGATTTTTTTTAAAGATTTTTTACGCCCCGGCCTGGGTTTTTTTAAAAAAAATTTCAGGCCAGACCTGGCCTTTTTTAAAAAAAATTTCAGGCCAGACCTGGCTTTTTTTTTAAAAATTTTAGGCCCGACTCGGCTTTTTTTAAAAAAATTTCAGGCCCGGCCCGGCTTTTTTTAAAATAAAATATTCAGGCCCGGCTTGGGTGTTTTTTTAAAAAAATTTCGGGCCCGGCCCGGGTATATTTAAAAAAATTAAAATACTGCCCAGCCCTGGGGTCGGGCCTGCATGTCTCTGAAAAACATACCAAGTAGTACAACATCTGAAAGTAGATTGAAAGGTTTGGATCTTTTGAATATTCATAGGCATTTGACGACAAGCAAGGATGAGATAATTGAAAAATTAGCTCAATCACAACGAAGATTGGATTTTACATTGTAAATATATAACATATATAATGCAATTATTCCTAAGAAACTTTTTGTGTAAAGGCTCAAAAAATTCTAATTTCTATTTTGGGTCATTTAAGTGATTCTTTACATATAATTTTTTTATAATTCACATAAATTTAAAATTGTGTATTAGAAATAGTTATTAGTCCTAATAAATTTATGCTTGATATTTTTAAAAAACAATAATATTTCTTAAAAATTTTTATTATCCCCCCCCCCCCCCCAGACCAAATTCCTGCGTACGCGCCTGGTAAGTATATAATTATAATATTAATGAAACTAACTTAATATGAAATTTTATATAAAAATATTTAATTATCTCATTTTGAATTTGTAAATTCTAACAAGATACATTCAATATTAATATAAGAAATCACTTAACTTTGCTAGTACATAAGTAATTATAATGAAACTAACTTATTATAGAACAGGGGCGTCGCTAGCCTTTATAATCTCAGGGGGCTCAACTAAAAAATTTTTAATAGAAAATCTATTTATTACAGTATAAAATATTTTTGATTGTTGATATAAAATGATTTTGCGTCTAAAGAATAATATATGATAAAAAAGGTTAATTATTTTATATATGCCTCAATTGATAATAGTTTTTGAAAACTACATAATAAAATATAATTCTTAGCAACTTACATTGACAAAAGGTCATGAAACTAATATACTCTCTATTACCATTTTAGACAATGTTTTATAGAATGGACTAATAAGAAAAAATTCATAGACCTTACCAAATCTACTATTCTTGAAGAAGAGAATATAAACGACCAATACAAATCATAAAACTATATGCTGGTTAGAGCTTCCTCTTAGATTACATGATGGAAACTACATAAGTAATCGAGAAAATTATTGTATGATATTAAATTTCTAAAAGATTATCTTCCATTTTCAATTTTATATAAACGACTACACAGTTAACCTATTGCTTATCTAAAATATGCGATCATATGCTCTCAGCAGCTGTAGTAGTAATCTTAAATTACATAGCACACAAATAATAGATGCTGGTTAATTTGCCGTCCTATGCATGACACTCAAGATGTTAACCCATCACAATTTATTCTGTTAGATAAATTGATAAAACAAAAACATTATAACCTTTAGAAGAAATTATGCAAATATATTGAAGCCTTGAGTTATTTACCCGGCAAGGATGCCATATTAGAAATGAAACATTTTGTAACTACAAAATAAGAACCAGAGTGATACCATTAAAGTAATTAAGATTTTATATATTATTGTCGCACCATCTCTAGTTGGTATATTATATCTTAAAATAATAGTAGTTTGTAATAATATCAAAAATATATTTGTATTAAAGATTTAACTCAAATCTATTTTTCGAAGAAGAAAAATATAGCTTTCCTAAAAACACGTAAAAAAGAGAAGAAAAGATATCTAATTTTTTACATCTATTGTGGGATGAATAATAATACGTTTAACTTTAATTATATTTTAAATGATGGCGTTAAATATTTGTAAGCAAATTGTTACTTGTATTTATTATCAAAAGCATTTATTAGTAAAATTTTAAAAATATTAACTGTAATATATTTGTCAGATAAGTCTGTAAAAGTTGCATTTTACCTTATATTTAAAAAAAATTATATATAATAGATATAAACTATATGCCTACTTACGTTTTATAAATAAATCTCTTATACTTATTTGGATTTGGACCATAAATAATTTTAGAAAGAGACATGGTAATTAAATTTAAAAATCAATAATATAGTTGATTAGTGATTTTGAACTCGGCTAAAATATTAAATTATTAATTTTCAATTAATAAATGATTATATTTATTAGGGTTATATAATAATTTAAATAATAAAAGTCAATTAATCTTCAACTGTTAAAGCTAAATTAATATTTAGTGAGTGATATTGTTATATTTTAAACACAGAATTTGATTGCAAGCTGACATAGTATAATTTATATGTAATAATCTAATAATTAAAATAGCATTCATTTAATAAAAATTAAGATAATTATAATCTATATATTACTCAATAGAATTATAAAAGAAATTATTAAGAGGGCAATTAAAAAAATCTATTTTTAGCTCAAGGAGATATTGGAGCCATTAAAAAAAAAATTTTGCTTAAGGGGGCTATTCAAATTTTTCAGGGGGCTCTAGCCCCAGTGCCCCCCCCCCCCCTAGCGACGCCACTGATATAGAATTTTATATAAGAAAATATTAAATCATATCGTTTTAAATTTGTATTAATATATTCCTGTAAATGTTTTTATTAATATGGATTGTTTTATAGGCATAGCCAGGATTTTCCTACGGGGGGAGGAGGATTAATTAATTTTTGGGAGATTTGCCTTTCTTTTGTAGGCCTTTTGGCCCTTTTTACCTGACCTTCAGACAGGTTTCCTTAGCCTATATATAGCTAGAAAATATTTTTATAGGATAGGAGATTTATTTTAGTAAAAACAAGTTTTTGTCACTATTTATGAAAAAAATTAAATTTTATATTATATTATTTAGTCATTTTAAGGACACATCACTAGTATCGTTAAAAATTGAACGCATTCACGTTCAACTTTCAGCTTAGGAACGCGTTAACATTCATTCAAATCTTTATATATATTTTTTTCATTTAATATTTACTTTAATATAAACAAATATCATTTATTTTTTAAAACAAAATATTAGTCATGTTTAAAATTAATGGTTTAAAGTGAATAAAAAATATTTTATAAAAAAAATTCCTTATTAATTTTTGGATCTACCACATTGTTGACATAAGTTCCAGCTTATATATTTTTTTCTTCTATTTTGTTATCGATATTATAAATTGTAAAGTATTTAAATAAATATACCATTCATGAAGAGAATTAAGGATAATTTATTTGACAAAATGTCGATCGTACCAATTTGCCAAAACCCTAACTTAAATATCAATCTACTAACACAAGTAGAAACAAAAAAGATCAAAAAAATACAAGAATTTAAAACTTCCAATTTACTCCGATAGTTATTTTACAGACGGCAGTTTTTCGCTATTTTATAACTTTTAAAAAAATTTAGGCCCAAAAATCCGGCTTTTTACAAATGATGCTAAAGAATTTTTATATATGCTTTAAGAAAAATTTACCTTTGGGAACACAATTATGAGATTGTATTTTTTATTAATATGATAGAAATTTTTAATAAAATAAAAAAAATATTCATTCATTAAAATAATCATTTCAAAATTTTATGGTTCAAATAGAAGTTATTAGGATTTTGTTTTTAATATTATTTCTTGGTATATTTAACTTATATCAATTAAATTTACTCATATTATTATACAATAACATTTTAATTGCACATAATTTTCATAGCTTTTATGCTATATCTCAATCCTTCATCTATAAACTATTAATTGCAATATTATTTCCTTTAATAATTGTAATTTATGGATATATGAAAAGTAGTTTAAATTTTAATGCATCATTGACAGGTTTTAGATATTAATATTTATCATATACTGTATTAAATATGAATATAATAAGAGTCTAAAATCAAATAATTATTTATTTTGAAATAAAATAGTTAATATAATGTCTTATATATCATATTTTTATTAAGTTTATCTACATTTATTTAAATACACATAAATATATTTAACAGATAATCAATATTATAAATAATTTTTTATTTTATAAATCATAGCATTTGTTGTTGGGTTCATTCTTACTATGACTTCTTATTCACTTAGCATAGCTATGACATTTTTCTTTCTTACAGCATCTAAGGCTACCAAATATAAGGCAACTTTTAAAAGAAAATGTGATCCAGATTGGCATAAAAGTTTTTAATTTATTTCAATAAAACCTTTTTAATTTAGATGAATTTAAATATCTTTATATTACAGTAATTTAAAATTGTCTAAATGTTATACATCAGATACTTGCAGGCCTGGGCTAAAGACCCAATTAGGTCATACAAAATTAATAATATGTAATGCTGGGCTTAAAATATTTTTTTTCAATAACCCATATTAGGCAGAAAATTATTTTTTATAAACCCAAGTCCTTGCAATTGATATTTCTGTAGACCTGTTATTTATATCAAGACATTTTTTTAAAAAAATAAAAGGCTGTAATCTTTATCAGGGTGAAATATCAAATTAAATTAAGCAATTTTTTTTAAAATCATTGATTAAATCAAAAAATTTTAGGTTCAAACAAATATAAAAATTAAAAAAAGCCACCTAAAATGGATTAATATAAAAATCACAAGTTTATAACTCTAAATAAATTTTTAGCCTGTTATATTAAATATATGTATGCTAATTTTATCAAGAACCATTTAAGATCTTGGTCTTGATGGGTATGATGGTCTGGGGGGGGTGTATGGTATTTGAAATCTCAATTTTAAACCATTTCATCAGAGTAATTTTAAATCTGAAAAATTTTATTTTTCAAAATGTATCCCAAATATGTATAAAGTAGAGATCTGCAAAGTTAGGCCCAGCCCATACCCAGCCAAGTTTGGGCCTAATTTTATTTAAAATAATCGGGTTTAGGCTAGGCCTGACCTAATATTTTTAAAAAAATTTGAGCTGGGTTGGGTCGGACCTTGAAATTTTTATTTTATAATTGAATTTTTTATTTATTGAAATTAAATGTCATATAACATATGTCTTTTATTTTGAATAATTATAAAAATTAATTTCTATATTTAAATAAATTCAGGCTATGCCGGGCCGGTTAATTTTTTTAAAAAAAATTTCGGGCTGGGCCAGGCCGGCAAATCTTTTTTAGAAAAATTTTGGGCCGGGCTGGGCTTGAAAAATTAGGCCCGATGCAGATCACTAGTATAAAGGACCTACCTTGTATTTCAGAAAATTTTAACATCCTTTGAACTGAAATTATTTAAAAATTTTAATTGATACTCTGGAATTCATTTTTGGCAATATTTAATTTGAGCATTGTCCAGGTGCACGTTGACCTTTTCAAAAAGGCAGAGGGGTGATAAAAATTGCTATTTTTTTAAAAAGATATATATCTATAATATAAAATAATGAGAAAATATTATCATAAAGTTAAAATATAATACAAATTATTACATTTTTATCTGAGACCTGCAGGAGAAACTGGTCTAACCTAAGAACCCACCCTGGAATGTACTAAAAAATAGTATGATTTTAAAAATCTGGGCTGGACTAATTTTCAGAAGAGTAATTTTACTGCTCATATTTTCAATCTCCTTGAAACAATTTGTAAAATATAGCCAAAATTATACAAAATAACAAAATATTAAAATTTTGGGATGACATGAAAATAATCAATAATAAAATAAGGACCAATAAAATTTTTTTTTAAAAACTAATCTTGTTCTGAGATATTATAAAATCCATGGCTGTGCTTGAAAATAAAGAGAAATTCAAATTGTAGCAAAATTTTGCTTTCTACAGTCTTTGATGCATACTTGAGTTCTTGCTTGAAGAATATATATATATATATAAATTAATATTATATTTCAGAGTTCTTAAAATCTCTAGATACAAAATTTCCGTATCTGTATCTAGTTAAATTTTTAGAGCTATCTATCTATTTTTTGATACATTTCGTTATCATTTTATGTTACTTTTTTTTATATTAAAAAAAATATTTAAATTCAATTCATAAAATATTAAATAAACCAGAAACTTTATTTTACACTTGAATCATGACGTAATTTTAAATTTTGGTTGATGAAAGTTTCCAGCTAATTGTAATCAGAAACCTCTGAATAAAGATCCAATAATTTTATATGATATTTTTAAGCACTCCCCAGGGATATAAATAACTAGTCAAATTTTATATTATTCCTTTAGAAATGAGTATTGAATGTGGGGATTTTAGTATAATTAAATATTATCCCAGTATAACATTATAAATAAAGTATAACACCACTCTGCATTCAAGTGCCAGTAGAACGACTTTTTAGTGTGGCTATTATCTTTACAGATAATGCCTTAATGATGAAAATTTTGAGAATGTCTATAACTAAAATTTAACAATAAATTATATTTTTTTTTTTATATTGAGATATCAACTCAATCATTTTTTTAGCTCACTTCATAATTTGAATTTTAATAAAATCTTTAACAAGTGTATCTTTGGGAAAATTGTAATGATATCTTAAGACGATATAGCTTATTTACATTTTAAAAGTACCTTTTAACAACTGTTATATTTACTTATATTTGTTCTAATGAGATGTAAATATATACCCCTTCAAAAAATTTTAACTTATAAATAGGATTTTATTATTAAAATGTAAATTATTTTTGAACCCCTCCCTCTGAAAAAAATTCTAAATATGCCACTATATTATTTTTGCTTTTGTGGGGTTTTAAAAAAATTATCAAAAATCGTAACTATATTTTAAAAATTGATATAAAATCAGATCAATAGCAAATTTTTAAAAATGATTTAATTTATAGCTCACATGTTATACTCTTGAAAGACCTGATTTTTGCCAGAATCGTAATCCAGCTTTTATAAAATTTCAACCTTGTTTATTATTATGGAATTTAGACATCAAAGATCAATATAAAATAAGGGTAGTTCAAAGTTTCATTGCGAAATTGTCTGAAATGCCCAGGGAAGTTCTCTACACGTGACGGAATATGATTCCAACAAAATCCAAATTTAGAAAACACGCTTTAAAAATTATTTAAGTTTTAAAAAGTTTGCTAAAAACCTAATAAGCTAATAGAAGAGGCGTATAAAATTTTTTAATGCCAACGAGCTAGAACGTTTCTGTCCCATAGAAGACAACGTGTATGTTTTTAATACATGTTAAAGCTTAATAAGAACATTTACAAGAACAAGAATTGAAAGGAATATTAATTGATATTGATATCTATTAAATAAGTTTAAGAGATAAATAATAAAGTTTATCTTTTAAAATAGGATAATATCTTGATTTTTTGCCCTTATTAATTTTTTATTACATTTTATCATGTTCGCCAATGGAAAAGTAAATTATATATATATTATTGCAAAATAGTTTATATACTGTTATAAACTTCTTAAAAATAGTTTATATACTGTTATAAACTTCTTAAAAATAGTTTGCGTTTTTTTACCCTTCTTTTGTTTTGAATTAAGTACATTTAAGGTTAACATATGGTTTTTGGGTTTTCTTTTTACCTAGGGGTTTTTCTTACTTTTAGAGTAATATTAGGGTGTTCGGCAAATATAAGTTGGATATTTAGGTCCGGGAGATCGCCCTGCGTCCAGAGGTATATTAGAGTTCCGGAAAGTATAGGAGGGTAGGTTTTATCCCTAATTATGTATGATAAAACTAACACAATTCCTTTTTGCAAAAACGTTACTTTTTTCACTTTACGCCAATTTTATTTTAATTTATAATTGCGCGTTTTATTTTCCCTATAAAAGGGACAAATTTTTATACTTAGAGATATAATTAATTTTTTGTTTTAAAATTATACTTAAAAATATACTTTATTTTTTTTGATTAATTTGGATATACACTTTTTTATTTTATTAACAAATTTGAATTAAAGTTTTTTTTGAGTAAATTATTCATGCCTCTTACACGATCCCAGATAGACGAACTCCCTACCGTTCAAACTTTTACTCAGCCCCGACTCTTCATATACACCACAAGAAAAGTTCTTAGATTATTAATAATATCTTTTATTAAAATTGACTTTATCATTTTTTTAAAAAAAATATCTAAATAAAAGAAAAGTTGTGAGCTTATTTTTTTTAAAAAACAACATCGGGGGCTAATTAAAATATATTTCATTTTTCAAATTTGGGTCTAATTTTTTAAAAGGGTGCTCTGTATGATTTAGCTAGCGCCCCTTGACATCGTCCTCTCCTCAGTAAATGGTTTAAAATTGAGAGATTCCGAATCACCAATTGAGGATTCTGAATTAATCATTATTCCAGATAAATTTACTACATATTTAATATATATTTTAAATATTGTATTTAACATTGTAATAAGAGAAAAATATTAAATATTTACAAATTGTATTATGTATATATCAGGCTAGGTTTCTTTATTAGTTTTTATTATACATTTGTTAGTGTCTTGGTTTTAGTATTATTGGATGATTTGCACTTAAACTAATAATTTTATCAAGATGAACAACGTTATAATACAATTTTTGTTATTATAATTTTAGGAATTTTAAAGTTTTTTTTAAAACTTAAAATTAAATCTAAACTATCAGTGCGTATATTATTATTCAATACTATCTTCCTAATTTTTTAGTTAAACATAAACTTTACTGTTTCCGGAGCATGTTGTATAAGCCCTAATAATTTTTTATTACATTGTTTGCATACTACTTGATTCATTTAGTCTTTAACCTCGTATAACTCATGCTTTCTACAACCCTCTTTTATAAATGAATAAGAAACATTGTAAATTTAAAAAAAAAATAAAACCTATTTATATCACTGTTCATGATTGTGATTGTATTAAATAACAATTGCACATAAACTTTATAAAATTAAGCTAAAAATTAAAAAATGTCTAAATTCATAATCAAACATTAAGAATCGAAAATCCATAAATTAATTGTTTAGAGTTTTTATTCATAAATCTTATTAACTTTGTTAGCTTTTCACCGCAAAAAACGACCGGTCTAGTATTCGCCTACGTTGAATTAGATTATAAATTTTTTAAATATAATCTTATTATAGAAAATTTACTGGATTATTATGCTCATTTTAAAGATAAAATATTGTAAATAAATACAGCATCTTATAGAAAGAGTACTCAAGTTTTATGCAATGGTGGTGTACCTGCGATTTTAGCAATTATATACATTCTAAGCCTCTATTTGTCAAAGCAAAATCAATCTTCGTCACCTTCTACATATGACAAAATTCTAGACAATAAATGTATCATGTCATCATCTTTTTCTAAGACTTTTGAATCTACAACCCTAATGCATTTGACGATATCGATTCTAACAAGTATATGTTCTAGTTGTGGGGATACTTTGGCCTCAGAATTAGCTCCTATCACTCATTTAGGGTCTCCTATACTTATAACCACCGGGTACACAGTGCCTAAAGGTTGATTCAATATTATTACATACTATAAGTTTGTTCTTTATTATTGACGTTGATGGATTTATTTATTAAAATATTATCATTTGAACATAATCAACATTAATTTAATTAGGATATAATGAGAAAAAGTAAATTTGATTATTTTAAGTGCTGTAAAACTTACTTTAAAAAAGTAACGTCGTTATTTTTTTCGTCACCTCCCTATTTTCAAATATAATAATAACAAATATTACAATTTTTTTCTAATTTTTTTTTTAAAAAAAAATATTATGTAATTAAGACTATGAAAATTTAATATTTGAAAAATATCGTTATCAATAAAATGTATAAAAATTTCTAACCATTTTTTATGATCAGTTAAGCAGGAACACAGTTTTTGCTGTGCTAAAGACTTATTAAAGTAAGATTATATTTAAATAATATATTTAAGTTATAGTAATTCATTAAATACTTAACTTTTTATTTTTTAAAAATTTGACTAATTTTCTCAATAAAGTTGACAATCCTCAAGATCTTTATCAATTTTTTTAAAATTTTTGGATTTTAATGACTTTTCTTTAAAATTATTGGATTTTAATTACTTTTCTTTATCTCTTTTGTTTAAGCTTAATACCACCTTTTGTTTTTGACTTTCAAAAATCATTCTAAAAAATAAATTCAAAATAAGCCTTTGGTTAATTTTTTTATTTCTCCTATTTACGGTTAATTTAATTTAGACATAGGATGAATTATTTAAGAGTTAATTTTTCATTTGAATCAATTTATAACATCATTATCCAATTATATGTATGAATAAAAATAACATTTAAAAAAAACATATAAAATAATGTATAATTTTTTTTTACTTATTTCTAATTTTTTTTAAACTTATTTCTAATTTTTTTTCATGTTTTTAAAATATTTCTAGAAGTAACGAGTTGCATACAAGTAATTTTGTTATTTTACTCGTTACTTTCCCAATGATAAGTGACGAATGAAAAGCTATTTTTTCCCCAAATTTTAACTACGTTACCTCACATACATACAGTACTATATAAATCAAAGTTTTAATATAAAAAAAACAAACTTAAATGTAACAACTAAAAACATAAAAATTAAGTGAAATTTTCATGACTATATTAAATAATCTAATTTATAAATATGATGAATAAAAGGAACTAACGGTGGGGTCACAATTATAGGGCTTATATATAGCTTATTAGGAGGCCTTTTCGTTGGCGTGGCTTACATAATCTCATCTTTACTACTGGAATGCAACGAATCTATCTCAGGCTCCAACATATCCTACTTCACTTTAAACTTAATTTTGGTCATTTCAAGTTTTTCTGGCTTGTTGGGTTCGGTTATTGATTCCATCTTGGGAGCCATTTTTCAATACTCAGGTTTTTATATTATTTTTTCGATAATTTTATTTCATAACTATAATCAATATGCTCTAGGGTGCCATAGACTCTAGGTGGCCCTTGCCCACTCGAAGCCCGGGGATAAAAATTTTAAACCCGGCGTAGCCCATGTCCCTTTATTTAAAAGGAATTATGAACACAAACTTGAAATATTTATTTTATTTAATAAATATTCAGTAATAATTCTAATAATTTTATTGATAATGAATATTAAATATTTAGTAAATTAAATTACCTCACGATAATTCGGCGCTGGAAATTAGGCGCGGCGTCAATTCGGCGCGTATCATATATAGTTGGAATTTTTTATAAATTTATTAGTATAAAACAAAATAAATATAAGTATTGTTGAGAGTTGGTCCATTAATAAACTTTTCATTTTTTTAAATAAAAATCTAAATTTTATTTACTAATTGCCTAATATCAATAAAAAATTTAATAAAATAAAAAAAAATTGATTTAATAAACAAATATTTATACCATGATTTAATTGTTGAACCCAGGCTTGTTAATCGGTCCTTTTAAAAAGATCGAATCCCGATCATGATCTTTTAAAAAAAAGAGGATCGAAATCCAGGATCGACCTTATTTTAAAATCGATGCAAAATTAACTAATATAAAAAATAAATAAATATGGTATAAATTTATTGTAATTGAATATAAAATATAAGTATAACAATTAGAATATATTTATTTATAATTAAATTAGCCTTTAATAATAAATTTTTTTCTAAATTATCATCATTTATACAGCCACATTTTCCATTAAGTACATGTTTAGCTTCACTAAATAAGCGCTCCATCTAAGCGCTTGATAGTCAAGGTGTTATATTCAATAAATGTTTTTTTTAATTAACATAATTATTAAAAATATTCACTGAATCATCATTAGAATAAAAAAATTTATTAATGGAAAGAGCATTTTGTGACAAGTTTTTCCCAAAAAGGTATCGATCCATGCATTCATTTGAAGGATTTGCGTATGGTTGACCTTGCAAATTTTCTAAATGGGTAATCAACCTTTCTTTTAGTAACAAATTTTGTGGCAGATTAATAAAAGGCCAATTGAGCTTAAATTTTGGGTGAATTATTGATGCCAATATATTGCATAGTGAAGGAAATCTATAATTTTTATTAAATGCATATTGTTATGATCTTTAAAAAATAATAAAAATTGTTTTTAAAAGAATTAATTACTTCTAAATGCCTCTTTAGGTTTGAACTGCTAATCTTTGAAGAAGATATTTTGTTTTTGCATAAAGAGCATTTAGCATAGATCATTGTATGGTTACTTCCATCCGTTTCACATAAAGTCAAATCCTTACGTAAATTATGAAATGGTAAAAGATTCTCATTCTCACTTATATCTGCTGTCACATCGATAGAAGTAGATGTATCATCTTCTAAATCTATAATGGAGGACATTATTAAAACCTAGAATTTATATTATAATATAATTAAAAAATAAATATAACTTGTTCTTACAAAAAATTTGGGAAATTGTTGAAATATAAAAACAGGCAGAATGGTGGTTGATAAAATATGATGTAGATAGATATTTTTTTTAAAATAATATTTTAATTTAATTTTCAAAATTTTTATTTTATTTATTGCTTTTTAAGTAAAAAAATAATTTTTAAAAGGATCGGGAACGAATATTTAAAAAAATGATCTCGATCACGATCCACATTTTAAGGTCAGGATCTTAAATCCGAGAAAATTGACAAATTTAGGATCGAATCCAGGATCGGTTATCTTTTGATTCGATCCTTTAACAACTCTGGTTAAACCTATTTATTATATTATAAGGTATGTTGATCCCCAAAAGTTCAAATTATTTTTTAGATTTATAGGTAAGGGATCAACAAAGGGAAGTGTCATGCCAGAGGTTGGCATTTTAATAATATCCAACAACGATTATATTAATTTCAAAATAAATTATTGACTTTAAAATAATTTTTCCAGACTGAGACTTATTTTATAGATTTATTAAAAATCCTTGAAAAACACGATTAATTATTTTAATAAATATTTAAATAATCAGTAATCGGGCCATTTATATAATCAGATATAATTAATATAAAATTTTCAACAGTATCCCTATACACCTTTCTTGATCTTGGTGGTTATGTATCAGAAGTATATTGTTCAATTTTTGCTTCGGTCAACTATTGTTTTAAAAAGGTGGTGCGATTATAGCACAGACGAGAATGCTCTATGCCAACTTTTAGAAAATTTTCAAAGTAAATTATAAAAAATGATTGCATAGTAATAATAAAAAAACAAGTTTAAAAATAAATTACCTTCAACTGCATTATTTGTTATTGGGATTCCCTCCAATATAGCATCGTATTGATTCCGAAGGGGAATTGGAAACCTTGGTGCTTGCCACTCCTTTACTAAGAATTTTGGCAATTCATTTCGCTTCATAATACGTGATAAGATTATCTAAGACCCTTTCATTATCTTGATAAATTGGTGTTCGTATAAGTCCATAAAAGGCATCAGCTACGTCATCCACGGGAAGGGGTAGGAAGAATTATGTTTAATTTTATCAACATCTTTTCCTCATCTTGAGAAGAGAGAGCATTTGTCTTAATTTATCTATATCACTCACTTCCTGCATCTCTATCTAAATAATGCGCTAGTAACTTGCTAGCGCTTTGTATATGTCTAAAAATCGATAGTTATTGAGGGAAATGAATGATTAAAGGCATTTACACCAATAAACATACCTTATAAAATGGTAAATTAGTCAACCAAAGAAATCAGGGTATAAATATTGGTTTATTAAATTAATTTGTTTTTTGATATGATTAGATTTTTTTATAGTTTACGCAATTAGTAAATTAAATTGAGATTTTTGTAAAAAAAAATGAAAAATTTAATTAATAGAACCAACATTCAAAATGACTTCTATTTAATTCCTTTTGTTTTATACCAATAAATTGTCACTATATTAGATACGCGCCTAATTTTCCGCATCTAACTGACATAGGACCAAATGAAACTTATTCAACCCAATTTTCTATTATGAAGTAATTGTGTTCTTTTATCCAAAAATGCCGCTGACATTTCAAAAATTTGCATTTCTTGCTAAATGAGCCGGTATCGCAAAGAATATTTTCGCTATTTCTTGTTATTCGGGTCCATTATGATTATTTAAAACTTTTCTTGTTTTTTAAATTCATTTTTTAATTGTGAAATTCAAGCAGAGAGAGGAATAATAAGAAATAAAAAATTCATACTTGGCTGGTCCGTCCAGTTCACCATTTTATTTATACAACCCGGCTCAGGCCAGTAGGACTCTAATGTTCATTATATAAATCAGAAAGGTTTGAGTCAACATTATGCTATATTAGGATGACTTCGAAATGATATCTAATAAGATACTGGTATCCATATACCAGATGACCTAGAAAGTCGCGTTTTTAAATATTTAAAACTGTGAAACATATCCGTTTTTTAAAAATAAAATTATACTATTTTAGAGGGTGTATGAATCATCTAAAAAACATTTTTCAAAATTAAGCGACGGGTTTCTATTATGGTGGACTATATTCAGATGCTCGCCTTTTTTAAAAATTTTTTCCCTAATCATAAATCAACGTACAACACCCAATATTTTAAGATATATATTTAAAAAAAATAAAAATGATAGAATTATCATAATACATAAAAAATGTAATTAAACGAAATATATGTTAAATCGGTTCTATCTTTTCTTTTATAATAAATAACAATATCTTCTTCCGCCTTTCGAAAGCCGGATTGATTTTCTTCCAAAATTAGAGATCACACTTCATGAATTTTATCTCAAGTGCACTTATAGATCCAGAAGATCTTAACCTATTTTTATAAATAAAAGTTTTATTTATTTTGTTTCACATCATATAATCCAATAGATCCTGAGCAGGGGATTTGGTCTTCGGAACATGGAACCTGTTTCTCTAAGCTGTTTTACTTAAAGCTCATTGAACGAATAATCCACCATTTTGTGGGGGGATTCACGAATCAAACTTGGTGCATTTCACTTTTTCGCTTCATGGCCTAATTCTGTCAGTTTACGATTTTTTTTGTTGACATATTTTATTTATAACTGCAACTCTTCTGATTGGTTAAAAAATTTCCTTTATCTTCTCCTAAGATGTAAAATTCAATTATATTATCTACAGGTTAAATTTTTTCTACCATCGTCTTATTTAAGAAATACATAATCCATTTTTCTTTTTTTTTGGCAAGGCATCATCAGCTTCTTTTGAAAATTGTTAGTATAAGAATATATGATGTTTTAATGCAAAAAATCTCTAGAGCAAATACCAATCAAACGAACCCTACGGCATAATAGAGTTTTTTTTAAATTTAAACATTAACTAGCAATGTTTATGTAAACGATCGCATATTTTTAATCTATTTTTTTAAAAATATAAACATCAAAAACCTATTTTTATCCAGTGGAGATAATGACAACCCAGCTTATTTTTCAAATTAATAATAAGTAATTAAATATAGTAATCCTTTTTCCGGTAGCTTTATTTTAATAGGAGGTACAAAATTTCATAAATTTTGATTTTATATTTATTAAGATATTTGATATTTATGAAGGCTTGGGGTATTTATTAACCACACCTAGGTAAACAAGATTCCCCATTTATAAGAGAAATATTTTTGAGTAAATAATATCAACAAAATACTAAAAAAAGTGAGTGTTGCTCGAACCCACTAAGAGAAATAATTAAATTTGAACTTATTATTTTAGACTAATAAGCATCTATGTTATTTATATAAACATCCTGGGGTACTTTTCGGCAATTTTCCTTTTTCTTTGTGAGATTTTTCCTAGAATTTTCCTATGATTATTATTCTGATGTTTTCTTTCGATTCTCATATCTTATATCCTGCTTAAAATTAAACATGCAAATTATCTGAAAGTTTCGCCGGTTAATAAACAACGTAAACGTGATTAAGAACTTCAATCATCAATTTTTTGAATATAAATCACGATTTAAATCAACATTCTTTTTTGCTTGTAATTTAAATTATTCTTTTTTTTTAAATTATATCTTATTTTAATATATTAATATAGGTATAATTAATTTTTAAATTTAATTATTAATAATAATTTTGTAAATACTGATCCTAAATCTTATATAATAAACTAGAGGTCTGCATTGGGCAAGGTTTCGGCCCGCCCGCTGACGCCCGACCATCTAAATGGGAGGGCGGGCAAAAAATTTTAAGAACCGACGGGCGGGTTAAAAAAATTTTAAACTATTGACTGGTGGGGTGGGTGGGTTAAGAAATTTAAGCAATGGGCGGGTGGGCTAAAAAAATTTAAAATCATTTAGGTAAATATTAATTAAAAATGGTTCTTATGAACTTTTTGGATATTAAATATTAAAATGTCCTTTTTTGGTATCATAAAACCTTTTTTGTATATTTAAAATTACTTTGGTGGAAACAACAAAAAAGAGATTTGCCAAAGCTATCAAGATTAGCAAGAAATTGGCAATTCCTGCAACTAGTGCTTCTTCTGAACGAGAATTTAGCATTGCTGGAATTTAGAACAAAGAAGAACATGTTTGAAACTAGAAAATGTCGATTCATTATTATTTTTGCATTATAATTACATATAATATCAATTTTATATTTATATTTTTTCATAAGTATTTTATTTGATCAAATAAATTATCCATAATTTAAATTGAAATTTTTTTATGCTTAATATAGTAATTTCCATAATTATAAAATTTCTTGTCGAGGTGTAATGCTAAAATATTTTTATTAGATACTTAAAAAATTGCAAGAATGGCCATAATTAAATTTTATAATAGCGAGCTTGGGTTAAATTTTTTTTATAAATAATGGATGGGCGGGTAAAATTTTTTGGACTAATGGGCTGGCGAGTATTTTTTTTCAAAATTATGAGCTGGCTGGGCGGGTAAATTTTTTTAAATATTGGTTGCACAGGCTAATGTTCAAAAACCGCCCAATGCAGACCTCTATAATAAACTCCTTTAAAAAATCATTATAATGGTATTAATTATTATATTAAGTATTTGATTATAAAAATTATTCATGCAGTTTATAAATATTTGATAATCAAACATTGTTAACATTAAATTTATTTTATTATATTTTAATTATAATGTTTTAAATTGAGTATATTCTTCAATAGTTTTTTAATATTAATTTCACAGGAAATCAAGTAATTATTGTAACTAAATGAATATATATTTTCCCTCTAAGGGTTATTTTCCGCCAAGGCATGTATTATGAAATTATTTTTTTTATATTTAAATCAAATAAATCATGATTTAATTAAATAAATCGATTTTTGTCAACCTTATTGAGAATCATTTAATATATAATAATTTTATTTATTTATATACATTATTAAATCTATGGAATCAAAGGCTACGATACTGAAAAAAAATGTATAGCCAAGCAAAGCCATGCGATGCCAAAAATTGTAGCGATCGTCGATAATTTCCCTATTTTTGACAACAATACAGTTAACTTGCTATCATCTTGCCTTATAACAATAATAATGCCATATTTCTTCAAAGCTTTAATGCCATAAAACAATGTTTGTTGAAGAAATTTATCTTAACTATATTGTAACTAATTTGTATGTTAACTTAGGCCATTAGCAAATTTAATAAAACTTAAATCATTTATGTCACTCGTATATTTTTTATTTTGAAAGGCCTGATTTTTCCGGAATCCTATTACAGCATCTATTAAAATTTTACCACGGGAATTTTTAACCATTTTCGCCATAAATTTTTAATGTTTTTTTAAATATTATATTTAAAATTAATTTATATAAAAATTAATATCAGAGTAGCTAAAAAGTATTTTGAATAAATTGTCTGAAATTTACACCTTTTTTAAAATATATTATTATAATAAAATAATTGATTAAAGTTGTATTATTCATCTTATAATATATATTTCATTTTAGAAAAGAAACTGATGAGTTTTTTTATTTAAAAAGATTATTGTGTTTATATCGCAATCGTATGATAAATTGGTATGAATTTATAAAATCCTCGTAACTGTAAATAGCAGTGTTGTTAAAAGATACTTTTTAAATGAATCTAGATACAGATACATAGTCTCGTATTTATATAAAAGCTATTCATCCTCTATTTTTCCATGGGGGAGGGGTTGGGGATTTAAAAATATTTTTGTAGCTTCATCCCAAAACTCTATTTTGTTATTATTCATTTTTCACATATTTATCATTAACTCCTTTGACCAAAGATTGTGGTCATTGATTCTAAGGTCTATTTTATATTAAATTACTAGTGTTTATGAGGGCTTAAGTGATTTGGTACTTATTAATTGCTCAATCAGTTTTCCTTACTATAAAATAAAAAACCAAGTCATAAGACCGGCCAGGATTATTTTCGAAAAATTTTTGGCCCTACCCGGATTTTTTTAATCAAATTTCGGCCCGGCCCAGGTATTTTTAAAAAAATATTTTATGCCCGGCCCGGGTATATTTAAAAAATGTTAAAATACGGCCTGGACCGTCTACCCGGACTGGGGTTAGGGCCGAACCTGTAGGTCTCTGAGCTAAATAAAATCTAAGACGATACGCATTGAGCACGAAGTTAGATAAACTTTTTGATAATACTAATTCTAAAGTTTCTACCAACTATTAAGTAGAGTTTAATTAGTATATTATAGTGCTTCAATCCGTTTCATATGTATAGTTTAAAGAGAAAAAAAAATTTATTGGAAAAATGACAAAATATTGGCACCATACCAGAAACGAAAAATGTAAAATATTCAAATATCTAGTTTGTGCTTATATTTAGTGCTTGATTAGTATTCATTAATTCTTCTATCAGTTTCGCCAATCACAAAAAAGAATTAGCTAAATTCATACATAACGTCACTTTATAAGTGTGGAGTCAGACAAACTTTTGGAAACACTCTTAAACTTCCAATGAAATGTGCCTAATTAGTACATTTTAGTGCTCCAATTCATTAAGAATATTATGTAAAAGACATTTTTGGCAAAATAAGAAAAATTATCATATTGCAATCATCAGAACGAAAATTATATAAGCATTAAATATTTGGGTTGAACCAATAATCAATGCCTGATTAGTACTTATTAATATTCGTTAATCGCCAGCTACTCAGAGTTGGGTAGATCCTTAAAGATGGAATCTACAGATTATCTAATATAAAAAATGCGAGGAATAGGATAGTTGTATCTTTTGCTAAATAAGAGTATCTTTTATACAAGATACATTTTATGAAAAAAATTACCTATTCCTAGACCTGTATGCCGACCGGCCGTAGGCCGCCCGCCAATATTTTTGGCCATGTTGAAGCCGCCGTTTATAAAAATCACTCCAGCACCCCGCCGATATTTTTTTAAAAATAATTTCCATGGTAAACCTCATTTGTTGTAAATTTTTTATGTTATTCAGGATTTTGATGAATTTTTATTTTATACCTATTTTAACATCATATTATTTTGACATCATTTTAGAATTCAATCAATCAAAAATGTTAAATTCCAAAGGATACCATAATTTTACATATTTTTAAAATGGAAACCCATAGGTGTTTGATTATGTTAGTATGAACTGCTTGGGTCATGGCCTACATAATCTGGTTATAATCGATGGTATTAAATACTTTTTGTTGAAAATCTTATTAAAAGAATAAGAGAAATTATTACTGCTCTAAGATATACAACTGCAAAGATTAAATTTGAGTTCGAGGCAAAGAAAATGCCTAAATACAATAGATCTAATATCAGATATGCTAAATAGATTGTACTGATTTATAACTCAATACCAGTTTTTAAATTGGCGATTCCAATGAAAATGATTTTTTTATGATAATGATAAAATTATGAATAGATTTTGAATTTATATAAGTCTTCCCTTAAATAAAGATTAAAAAAATATGTCATATCTGTAGTATGGTATATAAATTATTATTAAAAAAAAATGTTATATAACTAGGCGCCAATTTACGCCGCCTATGCCGATGGCGGCTAAAATCGGCTCGTCACCGGCCGCCGAGTTTTATTGGCGCACAGGTCTATCTATTCCTACTTGACTATAAACCATAAAGTCGATGAGGAAATCAATAAAAATCGATATAATCATAACATAAGTACATAGAGAATAACGAGCTAAAAGATAAATTACATCAAATTCTATGGTTTATTACTTAAGAAGAACTGTCCCGAAATTCTTCAAATCATTTAGATTAAAAAAAAAATTATACCTAGAACAATAAACAAGCACATGACATTTCGATTACTTAATGTTTTCCTACGGTATCATTTATACAAATATAATTAAAAACTAAGATACATCATTATAAATTAAAAAACTTACTTTATAAAAAAATACAATGATATTACTATTATTATTTCAAGTATGTATAGAAGGGGCAATCGAAAATTATGTACAGTTAGATATAAATAAATAAATTTTATTCCATCATAAAATAGTAAAGAATATTAGAGCAGAAAGAAAAACAGCAAGGTTAGAATCTACAGAAAAAAAATGTTAAAAGTGAATATTAAATTATATATATATATCAAGGTAACTATCTTTTGTCAAGAAAATTAAAAAGTTACAAGATTCTCTTAATAATAAAGTATCCTAGATATAAATTAAAGTATATTATTAGATGTGAACGATTATAATAGATAATTTTTTCTTCAGGCTCTAAGGTTGAACGATTGTTTAAAATCAGGTAAATGATATTAAATGATAGCTGGTCTAAATTTGGAAATAGAAAATGTCAAATGTCCTCCCCTTATGGGAAAGAAGCGTCACCTACAAGGTACAAGTTCTATGGGAATTTAAAATATGAAAATTTTATTAAAAAATTAATTGTTTAACATGTTTGAACTTTTTCATGCATTTTTTTTAAAAAAATGAAATGATTTTGGAGAAATAGAAATTCATGATTCTGATCATTTACATGCCCCCCCCCCCTTTGTCTACATATATAAAAGTATTCTGAAAACACATTTATCCCCCCACCCCCCTGCTGATCTTATCATGATACGGCAGAATGAATGCTAATTTAAAATTCAATCATTGCAATTATTTTATATTGCAATTATTTTATATTAATTATGAAATAAATCACTAGTTTAAAAAAAAATCAATAGCTACAATCTATTACATAACATTGAAATGAAAATATATTTATAAAAATAATAAATTTATGTTAATTTATTATTAAAATTTATATAGTTTACAGTTAGTGTTGCTAAACGGTTCAATTTTTAAAGCGGCAAACCCAGTATTTTAGCCAGTGTTGTCAAACGGCTCGATTTGAGCCAATTTTTAAAAACAGCTAACTCAAAATTTTAGTCAGAAAAAATATTGTCGAAGCCTCAGGATTTTGCAAATAGATTTCCAAACCTTTGTGCCATCTATGACCAAAATTTTCAGGCTTGCGCAATATTGTTATGGATAAAATATTGATCTGGCCGTTTTTAAAAATCGAGTTATATCGAACGTTTTAATAATCATTTTAGCCAAAATATAATAGACAAGCCTCGAGATTTCGTTAATAGGTGTCCAATTTCTGCCATCTATGAACAGAATCTTTAGGCATGCATAATATTATTTTGGTCAAAATACCGGGTCAGCCGTTTTAAAAAATCCACGTTTAACAATACTATTTACCAGAGTTGTCAAAGTATCTAGATACAAAAATGTCATATCTATAGTATTGTTAAACGGCTCGATTTTTAAAAACGGTAAATTTAATATTTTAGCCAAATAAATTTCGCAAGCTTCGAGATTTCGTTATTAGAATTTAAACTATTCAGCTATCTATGGGCAAGATTTCCAGGCTTGCGTAAAAAAATAGCTAAAATATCAGGTTACCGTTTTTAAAAATTGAGCCATTTAACAACACTAAATATCTGTATCTAGATACTATCTTAAAGGTATTTGTATCTGTTTTTAGATATTTTTACCATACATTTTGATATATTGTAGTTTAACGCTTTTTATCTAAAAATAAAAATATTTTTATCTCATATGAGCATATAATTTAAATAAATATTAAAAAAAATATATATTTACAAAATATAAAAACTTATATATAAAAACTTATACATAAAAAATATATAAATATATATTAAATATGATTTATTTCCCATTAAATCTATAGTTATCAGTTCAAGATTGTAAAGGATATTTTTATCATGTAAAGGAATGTATAAATCCTTGCTTAGCCATGACGCCCATTAATTATTAAAAACAATACTACTGATACGCAAAATTATCTTGAGCAAATAAATTTATTTAGAATTTTTTAATCTATAAATATTCCGCTAACTTTTAATTAACAAATTATAAGCTTAATGTAAATTTTTTAATAAATGTTCGTTTTAAATGAGAATTTGTTCAAAAAAACGATAAAAATAGGAGTATTGACATTTTTTTAAAATATTAAAATGTTGTTTAGATATTTTGTGCTCTCATAATCAGATTCTTGTTTGGAAACAAAGGCGAACCCTTTATATAAGTATGAAAAAAACTGTATTTGTATCTAGATAAATTTCTAAATTGGTAACTATTAAGTAGTAGTATTTTGGTGTTGTTGTTAAAATAGCTAATTAAATATAGAAAGCGTGTTTGTCTGATAACTAGTTATTTAGAATTTCAAATTGAACACTTTTTTAAAAATATTTCCTATTAATCTAAAAAAAAAGTAGAGTATAGCTTGTATCAGTAGCGTGGC